CCCGGACTTGGGACCGGGCTGAGCTGTAGTCTCCCCTAGATTCTGTTGTCCGTCTTTGCATGCATGCGGAGAGGCCCTCTATACGGGGTATATGGATAGTGTCCTCGGCTGCCACTTGCTGAAGAACCTTTTCTGCAACAAGGCTGGTCACCTTCGGGTATTCCTTGTCCAAGAAGCTCCAAAGTCGTAAAAACTCCACTTGCGGCAAAACAGTCCAGGCGTCCACTATGATGTCTTCAAATTTATAGTTGGCCCAGTACGCCGTGCACAGATCTGATACGTAGCCGAGCTGCTGGTCTGTTACGCCTTCGCAGCTAGCTTCGTCCAGCACAGTATCACTCAGTCTTGCACGTAGGTGAATAAACGCAGCCCACTGTTCATCCATGAACCCTTTCTAGGCTTGAACCGCTCATGGCGCTTTACTACTACTACTACTACTACTACTACTACGACGGCGACGACGACTAGCGTCGGCAACAGCAGCAGCAGCAGTAGCGGTGGCAGTAACAGGTCCAGTAGCAGTAGCATTTGCAGCAGCAGCAGTAGCAGTAGCAGGAGCAGCAGCAGGAGCAGCAGCAGCAGCAGCAGCAGCAGCAGCAGCAGCAGCAGCAGTGGCAGAAGTACCGCAAAAGTGCCATCGGAGCATTTTTGCCTATCCCAGGGTCCTTGCATGTAACGTGGCCTCGTGAACCTTTACATCAACACCCGTTTGGATATGCACGCACTTCGCAAGACCCCAAGGGCCCGCTTGTTCAGCCACGCAGCAATGGGCATCGATTGCCTCCGCAAGATACATGGTTGCTGCTTCTGTTGTTTCCGGAGTTAAGCTCTGAAATACTAAGTCTCTGCTCCGGCCTGCTGCGAAGAGAAGTTCGACCCTGGCACTGCATCTGCACAATAGCACCTAGCACGGCTGCACGTTTCCAAGCGGCAGCAAGAAAACGTGCCTGAACAAGATGCAATGATGTGATACTCACCCTTACTGGAAGATGCCTGTCGTCTTTTTGTGTTGCTCGCCATCGCTTTGGCGACATCGCACAACATTCCGCCTCGGACACCTCCACATCGATTGAAAGACTCACAATCGGTTCCGGATGAGAGCTCGCACTCGGGCCTCTCCACATGTCAGGTTTGACAGCCAAGGGGTGGAAGTCGTTGTGGTAGTCTGGACGGTAGTTGTCGTGGTTGTTGGCAGAACTTTCTGGCACCTGCAAAGGGCAATCCCAAACCTTCGCATCCATGCTTGAGTTTTCATGTTTTGATGTCGGCACTTACCCCATCCTGCAATCTGTGTCCATGTTAACAAAGGCACAAAGCACTTCGTGCAATCCGAGGCACCACTCATCGACAGCAATTTGGGACGAGAAGGCTTCACCAACAACCTTAGAAAGCGAGAGCACTGACGAGGAGTGGTCGTCCACATCATCTTTGCAAGTCTCCGGCAGGACCGCTGCACCAGCACCTGCACGAGCGGTTCTCGGGTGAAATGTGTTCTTGAATGCAGGACTCCGTTCCAAGCCCTGTGCTGATTGTTGCCATCATTGTAGCCTGCGCGGTGCAAAAAGGCACCGAACACAGGAGCACAGCTGTTGCAGCCGAGAGGCGGATTTGTTTCGGCGACATGGTGCAGCAACGTGCGCGAGGCACCAGGGGGCACGTCTTCACAACCTTGCAGACTTCTCTTGAAAGTGACAAAACGGAAATTCGTGATTTGACCTCCTTGCAAGCTGCGTCGATGAGCTCCTGTGTCTGGAAGCGTCCACCTGAAGACTTGCGCATACTCTTCTGAAGGAAGCTGTAGACTCAGCAGTCGCTGACCTTTTTGGGGGCCACTGCACCAGCATTTGTCTCCAGATCCCTGCCAATTCAGAAGCAGGGCTAAACGATCTGCAAGCTGATCTTCCCTTCCCTTGGCCTGTCGGATCTGTTTGGGATGCATATGGCCTTACGTTCAAGTAAAAGGGACAGAACACCGACACCGTCGTCCATGGCCGGATAAACCATAAAGTCACAAAGTTCGTGAAAGTCACAGCAGTGCCCTTCTGAAAGAGATGTGCACGGGCGAATCACCGAGCTGCACCATTCCTCGTCATCATGTCAGGAAAATGATACTTATGCTAGTTGCTGTGTCATGTAGTCTTGCTGTCTTTCGGCAAAGCTTCATCTATGGATTCCTGCGTGTTGTGACTGCTCTCATTCTGTGGACTGCCTCAGATCACAGACAAGCTTGCACCTATGATTGCAAAAAACAGGGCATCATAGAATTCAGTTAACGCGACACTGGCAACAATAAAGCCACGAGTCTGCACCAACACTGACCTTTGCCATCCTTGGTGGCGGGAACATCTTGCGCACTCGATGCCGGACATATGCCACGTCCAAGGAGCATGATGCCGGATCCTTTTCGGTACTGAATCGCAGCACGTCACATGAGAGAGCTGGTCACCTGAGCACGAAGACAGGAATCTTAAATGCCACCCAAATTGCAGACCAACTCGGCTGAGGGGCATGGTTGCGCCACCTGCATACTACCCACTAGCTGTGCACAATACGCGACATTGCAAATTGCACCACGTCGTCGAGCCGTCTGTGCTCCACTGAGCTGCAGCATCACAACTCCAACTCTTCTTGAAGAGACCGTGCCTCACTGCAGTACTGGTCGATGGCCGCTTGCGAGGGGAATCTCCCACCTGCAGTTGCACATAGTTGCAAGGAGTCAGTTGAAAGCACGTCCATGTTCCAGAAAAAGAGGCGAATTCAATATCAGAATGCACATCTACCGTAAGTCGCCCACCTTCCTTCGGTCCTCCACATGCACATTTCTCACCGCCTGCCTCTACCCGAATCTTCTTTGGAGACCTGCAGCAAGTGATGGAGTAGGAAGCGGGTTTAACTAAAAAACATCAGAGACTTCTGACTCACCAATGGCAGCGCGGTAGATGGGCTCAAAGCAATCCACAGCAGAAGCCAGAGGGCATGTCACTGCCTTAACTCATGTTGTTTCATCGCAAAACTGCCGAAGCATTGACCAAGAGGTCAATATCGGATAGTTGGACAGCTGCAGTCGAGCAATCTGCTGTCCAAGTTGCATTGCAGACCTGTAGTGTTTGGAGCCAGAAAGTCCGCATCTTCGGAAGAATCCTCGGATGTGACTGCGTGGCATTTGCCTGTTGACTCCGACCACGACTGGGCCAGGAGCATCCCGCTCCTCTGCATCTGATATAATGCTTTTTGCTGAAGACGATGAAAAGCCTGCAATGCCCATGTGCTGAGCCAAGTGCGGTTGACTACTGTACTTGCAGTGCTGAGTTCTGCCTCCTTCGGCCAAGCTGAACTCTGCATCGCCTGCGCATCTTCAGAGGTTCTGGGCTTGAATCTGGGTGAGAAGCTTGCAAAAGCGATGGGTGTCAAGTGGAGATCCCAAATCCGGAATCCCTGCGAAATCTACGTCCCAAAGCTGCAAATGTGACAGAGCATTCGTAGCAGTGGTTTTCTCTTTTGGCTTAGGAGGACTGGGCTCGGCAGATACAAGTGCAGGGCGACATGAACCTTCTTCCACGCTCTGGTGCAAATGTCACAATGCCAGTGTTGAGCTTGTCGGCAAGATGTGCCTGAAATCTCCAATGCTCCCGCACCGTGTCTTTGCGTCCTGCCATGCTGGACAACGACTTGTTGGCGGTCACTTGCCGCGCAGTGGATCTCGCAAGAGGAACCACTCACATGCTCCTCATAACCCGACTCGGGCGTTGCGATTCTTCCACAGCTGCTGCATATGCAACTCCACAGTTAAGAAGAAGGGCGCATATGGAAAGCCATGATCTCAGTGATGGACTCGTGACAAAGCAGATCTTGTTAGCACACTTCCGGGCTCATGCATTCAAGGTGCGGCATCGCCGACTGGATTCCTCAGGCCTGGCTTGCACGGCTCGGGAATGGCAGGCTCTGTGCGATCACGCTTCACACACATCCGAAGTCCGGTGGGCGAAGTTGTCACTGCTAACTTTGCCAAGGTGCTAAGAAGTTGCGAGAAGAGTGACCTTGACTCTAATGGCTCTACAGGGGACATGTAACGCACACCTAGAGGTGTCGGATTGCTTGAAATGGCCTCGGTTCAAATCAGTGACCGAAACTACTATCTTTCAAACATGTGCCAACGCATCGCCACGCACGTGCCTGATTCTCTTCCTCAACAATGTGGACATGCTTTCGCGGTTGTTGATACGGGGCTTCTGCACGAACGAGATATGAACGACAAAGGAAACTAAATGAAAATATCGCAATTTTCAATGTCAATACGCGACCATAAGATTCGATGCCATCTGCAAGAACACCGACCATCTGTCCAATTGTGACAGAGACCAGAAGCAAAGATAACAACGATTGGGTCAAACCAAGGGCTGCAAAAATAAAACAAACTGTGGGACATTATTTCCTCAACAGCGTGTAGCACGCTCTTACGTTAAGACCGTTCGGAGTATATACAGGTGTGCGCGGCAGGTGCACCTGCCGATCTCCGGCGCGGTAGGCATTGTCAAGTCAATCACCGTCTTTCCACAGTCCGGCTGCAGCCGCATCCTGCCGCTGAAATCGTGCCCGAGCGCATGTGGCGGATTTTGCGGCGTCTTCGATGTGAATCGTGCTCCTGCTGGGCCCGTGCGCACTGTTGGCCTTCCGATCCATCTTCAGTCGTACGATTCGCCTCCTCGCGGTTCCAGGTTGTGCTCTCAAAATTCCACCATTCTTCGGGGTCTTCGACTTGGGCCAAAATTGAAGTTGTGCTGGTGCCACAGTGTCTGATGGGGTGGGCTTGGGAGACTCAGCTGTGTGGGTCCACACTGGCAATAAATTAAAGAACCGCTTAATTGTGCCTAATTGATAAGGAGATTGAGGACAACTCATCATGTTGCCATGCGTTGCCTATTCTCATGTTGCACGCACACTTCATTATTTTAATTCTTCTTCACATAGATCTAAACCACATACAAAGCGATGCAAGTGTTGAAGTGAACTTCCTTTTTGTTGATTTTGGTTTCGACTCCCCAGCATAAACCCCAAACTTCAAATCTAAAACCTGAAAGCGGAGAAACGTGTTGCAGTAGATAAGGACGCCTCATAAAGGCTGAGCATAGATCGGTGCTTTGGAATGCTGGAAGTCTGAAGTTGCAGCGCGTTCAGTATCGCTCAGTAAGAGTATCTTTGGAATTTGGAGACTGGTAGACCTGACCTGACATGCATCATTCGCGAAGAAAAAACGTCTCGGTTCAGTGGGAGTGATGCCGCACGTGTTGAAGGGAACCAGCGCGTAAACTAGCGTCAAATTGCATAACTTTGGAAGACTTACATTGGCAAGGACTCTGGGGACTATAAGTCCCAATTGGAAAAACTTGTGGTTGAGTGGGTTTTTGTCACGGTCCGGCCGGGCAAACAAAGCCTGCAAGTTTCGCCAGAAAAAGCACCCACACAATTTGCGCTAGAGGAGGCATATTTTTTCCGCTTCCGTGGTCCTCTTCCTATATTATACTTTGCCATGAATCTGCAGGTGAGTCGTACGGATGTCCATGGCCAAGTGGCTTCTCTGGAGGCTGTCATGGTCGCCAGGCCATGCTTGTGAGTCGAGCCCAAAGCACAAGGAATAAGGAATTTCCATGCGGCTGTCGTCATGCAACTATCATGCTTGTACAAAGAGCCAAGGTGATACAGCCTTCTAGTCTTCGGCACATGCCTGGAGAGAATTCCCACCGGTCGCGGAGCATGATCGTTTCCTTGCACCTGCTTGAGGTGGTCCTGACGAGGAATCCAGAACAGAAAGCCTCACATTGCGCATCATCTTCAATGCAACCGTTGCACTTCGCACGGGATGGTCCTGGGCCCTTGCGAGGAACTCTGCTTTCTCAAAGCAGCCGGTGTGCGAGACCTAGGGCAGGCTTGCGTCTGGGCGAAACGATTGGCATGAAGTGCGAGTGTTACTCTGGACTATGGCAACTTGATTGGTACCAATACAACTTACCTGCAACAGCGGACCCGCACCCTCGAGCAGAAGTGCTGGCCGTCTCCGTTTGTTCATGCGAGGTGGTTGTTGCTGTTTGTCCTGCCTAGCTTTGGCTGACTCGGGTCTGAGAGCTTATCGGCTTGAAACGGGCTTTCAATGTGCATAGCACCTGGCCTTTCGCAGGGTGCTTGCCAAAGCACCGCCGGAAAACGTGGGCGAAGTGACACGTTAGCGTTGTAGCAGAAGCAGATGGGCCTCCCTTCGAGCGTTCGGTCGGAACATGTCGGAACCAAGCTTCGACAGGAGGACCGGGCTTCCAGGTGCAGAGCTTCGGCTCTTGGTTTTGATGGATTTTCCCCTTTGCACTTCCGAAGTTGAGGATCCTGCACCACGGGCAGAGAGCCATGTTCTCAGCTCCTTTGCGCTGAGAGATCGCAGCTGATGCGCCTCCTTCCAACACAACTTCCGGCAGTCGCATTGGTGGATTTGCCTGCCATGTGGTCTCAGGTTCCCGCCTCTCCCTCCTCACTCGCAATATCCTTTTCCAGGTTGACAGACTCAGATTTGTCTTCGGACGCCTGCCAATGTAGCAACGTGGCCTTCTCACGTCTGAGTCTGAGCATAAGAGCTTAGCTCATGACTCTCAGGAATGGCCCGCATGCTGCCAAAGCTTCGACCACCTGGTATACGCTTGGTGAGGAATCTGGGTGAATCAGACGGCACTTGTAAGTTTGCGGCATTGTCCGTATGTCTTCCCGAAACACACTTCCGGAAGCGCAGGCGGGCTGCTGGCAACTTCTCGCTCACCTGTCTTGTGCTCAGCGCATGACTGTGGCTACTGCCAGCCAATACCAACAGGACGTTCACCTCCCCGTGTGCGAGGCTAACATCCTCAAGGGAGTAACCTTGCGACGCATGTCTTGATGATGCGTAGGCCAGTGGCTGGAGTCAGAGAGTGAAGACCTTCCTTTTTGGGGGCTCCCGGCTCACTGAGCTGCTGTGGAGCTCAGCCAGGACCTCTCGTCACAAGTCTGCTGGGGACGTCTCAAGTTCACGGAAAAGAAACCTTCAAGAGCTGGCCTTCTTGATGAGAGCCATTTCCTGCTCCTGCAGCGGGACAATCCTGGAGCACAAAACAAGCAGCAAGTCTGCTTCAACTCAGGGTTGTCTGCCAGAGATCGCCAGCAAGAAACGATCCTGCAAAACATGGAGGGTGCTGTGGCCCCGACGCAGTGGCGGGGTAGACGCGCTTGAAGACGCTCTGCATGTCTGTTCCTGGATAGTTCAGTGAGCACGGTTTGGTCAAGCACAGAATCATCTGCTGTGCCTGGAAATGCTTCGAGCACACGCACTGCACACCCAAGGCTGGCGATGTCAAGGCCTCCGCGCTTCCGCAAAACAAACTGACTAGAATCTACATCTGTTTCGCGGGATAGTTACTGCAGGTCCGGCAATGTCCTGTTCCAAAATGTCGCGAGATGCGAGCCCTCTCTGACCCCTAAGGCAGTTCTTCGGTCGTTGTCATCGTTCAACCTGTCCACCTCCGTCGACTTCAAAGCGAGATGAGTTTGAAGCATCCACTTTTCTGATTCCTGAAGCTGATGACTTCAGGCAATCAAACTCACAGGCACTTCTTCGGTCGATGTGATCGTTCAACCTGTCCACTTCAAGTTGACAACCGGGGTCTGGAGCATCCTCTTCTCAGGCTCCAGAAGCGATTGCGTGGCATCGCAGCATCAAACGAAGCTCGGTCACTGGAACTCATCACATCAGGTCATTCAGGTCTTATCACACGGAAACCCAACCACAGAGCTTGCTTGCATTGACGGACCCCATGAGAACTCATCGAGAGGCAAGCACGCAATCCAGCCTGGGATTTTGAGAGAGTCCAGATCGCCTGGACGGAGGATCCGAAGCGCCCTTTGGAGTGCTCGGGCTTCGGGCTGCTCGTCAAGGGCCTTCTGCAAGGTCTTGCAAAGTGGCCGCTGCAGCAAGCAGCCTGTCATTGGAATCCGCCCCATGCGAATCTGCCGATGCTGCACACCTCTCCACGCTTGAGGTTGGCAGCGATGGTGCCAGCTGTGCAAGGGAGCCAACCAACCTGTCGCAGGGCAGCACCACACGTGGCTAACAAGAGCGCCGAAGAAAGGCTCAGACTCCGAGGGTAGAGACGATGAGAGCTGCAGTGCCGCAAAGCGGGAACGCAGCGGAGGATCCAAAGGATTTCCTGTGCAAGCGCCTATGCAAGAAACTCCTCTGACAACGAAGCGCGCCTCGCTCCGGCATCCCCAAGGCCACTACCAAGAAGTCTTCGTGCACGGGCACAAGCTGCGAGAACTCCTATTCGTATTGCAGGAGAAGTGCCGCAAATCGCCGCGACCCAGAGGCTCCAAAATGGCCCGTTCCTTGTGGCTCCCGAACTGCGCACGCAGCTGCTTTGCTCGCTCTGGCGCCAGGAGGAAGCGCCTCCACTAGGATACCCGGATCGACCGAGACCCGTTGAGACTTCGCGGAACACACACTTTCACGCTGCAGAAACACTACAGCCACGAAAGTGTGCTGCCTGTCCTCCAGCGACATCTCACGATTCTCAAGAAGATTGTTCCTGAGGCCATGTGTCCCCAGGCCGAAAATGTGCAGTCGCAGATTTGCAATCGGGCTACAGCAAAGGAAGCACATTCCGCTCTGCTTTCTCGATTCCTTCGAGCCTCAGTTGGTTTACAAATTGCATCTGGTCTCCCGCCAAACACCTTCCGAACACCTGTGAAAATAATTGGTCTGGGCGACACTAGAACTCGACCGTGGATAGCTGCTCGCACAGGAGCTTGGTCAACGTACCTGCGACCAATGAGCTCGACGTCTGCATGCTTTTGAAAACGGATCCAACGGCGGCTCACTTCACACTTCCGCTGCAAATCTCGCAGCGTTGCTTTAAGTCAGCCTCGCCTTGGAAGGTAACATGTCAAGCAAAAGCGCAGAAGGTACTGCTTCTCTGCACATGCCACGTCCGCATCAGCACCCTGGGCATGCTCTTCTGTGGCCATTCCGCCTGTGTCCCTCGTGACGCCAACATACTCGACCTGATGGATGCACAGCTCTGGGCAGGCACATTGGCAAGCTCGGTCTGTGCAGCACCTCACGACGCAGCAGCTCGCAGAAGCGGAACACAGTGTGCCTGCGCAAGGAAGCGCTCAACAGACGTTTAGCGCACGGAGGCCATCACAATCGCCCACCCGGATTTGGCAATCGAGCATGACATGCCCGAGTACAGGACGGGAAACTTCGGACAGTGAACCTTAAGGACAAGAGCGAACCCAAAGCCCTGGACAAACCCCCGGAGCCTTCACGACCGAACATGTTCAAACCCCGGAACACTCCACAAGAAACTCGACACCTAAAGGACCTCACCTTACACCCTACAACATCCCTGAACATAACACCCGAAAGCAGATGAACAAAAAATAAGCCCTAAAACTGCAAACCCCAAACACCCTTAACCCTCAGAATCCGCATCCTTGCTTCATCTCATCACTGTTCGGTGATTGAATCAACTTCTGCCGAAGTCGATATGACTCGGGACTGTGTTCGATTCGCAGGTACTTTAAGCCTTCCTGCTTGAATCGCATGTACTTGCATCACGTGTGCTTGAATCAAGTTCTTGAATCGCGACCAGTGTGCAAAGAGCGCTTATGACGGCCTAAGCAATGGTCCAGGCGGCCCCAGCAAGAACATATCCTGCCGCAGTAAGGCCTGAGCCGTGTGGCATCGCACTTGCAGGACAGACGCTTGAAAATCCCACCTTTTGCATCATCCACCGGAGGGTAGTCAACTCTGAGGAGGGCAGTTCCCCGCCCTGCAGGAACCAGCCGGCGAATGTCAAAGAAAGCCAACGTCGCCGAAGCCTCTCGATGCAAGCCACCGCGCCGAGGCGGCACAGTTGGAACCTGGATGCTTCTGATTATGCAGAGCATGCCGACCTGCAAAGCAAGAAGCCAAGGGGCCAAGGGGGTCAAATTGTCTGATGCCGACATCGAAACATCGCCAATCGAAACGACCTAGGACTTTCTGACTCTCAGGGCTCAGACAACCTCAGTATAGGACCCACGCCCGTCGCTCACAGCGCATCATGTTCCATTCTGGATATGGGATGTGTGTCTTCAGCTCAGTAGTTCATACAGGAAACTACTGGCTAACAATTCTTTGCTACCGGCGACCAGACAAGTAGAGCGAAGTGACTACCCCTCAACTGCAGGCTACAAGTTTCAACATCTCGAGACGAAAGGGCCTTAGCAAGCCCGACAGCCTGGACCCCAAGCCGAGAAAGGCTGGCAGGGTGAAGCGATCTGCTGCACTTGCTGCATGACACATCTTACAAAGCGGAGCAGACAGGAGCAGACATGTAAGCTTGTTTGCCGAAGCCACACTGCAGGAAGGCACATCTGCCAAGACCGGACGAGTCTCCGAAATCCGCTGAAACGAAACGATCTTTAGGGTCTTTAGGGTGATCATTATCGATCTTCGCTTCTCGAGCGATCATGACGGTCGCGGAAAAGCAGAGAACTTCGATAGAGTAGCTCCTGCTGCAGATCTGGGGTGCAGCATGTCGTAGAGAGAATGCATGCAGACCTACGCTATCCGGCACACACTATCCTGCCTGGATGACTGTGATCAGGGCCACTGCGAACATTGGGGCTCCCAATGGCAAAGCTCGTGGTTGGCCCTTCTGCGCAGCGGCTCGCAGCCATAGGCGGGTGAAGAGCTGCGGTGCGATCATCCGTCCCACGGCTCCGATGGCGGACATGACTCCCATAGCCTCGCGGTGACAAGTCAAGTGGTCACGCTCATGTCACAATTTCCGTCTTTTCGACAGCGCCTCCCCACGTGATAGCCCCAGCTGCACGGCTCGCTCAACGAAGCGTGTCAGCAGCACGGTGTTTCCACCTGCAGAAGGTCCAGGGCTCAAGACGTCAAGAGCCGGGTCAAGCTTTGCTGCCATTAGTGGCCCAGCGGCCTGTCCCAAAGCTCAAGGGCAGCAGGCATGCGATCAGGCTAGGGCCAGTCTTGGATACGGCCCATGTCGCGTAGGCCACACCGGTCAACAGGTTTGTGACGCTGACATACAGCCTTTTGCCAAAGAACTGAATCAGTTCGCCTGCCAACATGGACCCACAGAACCCCGCCAAAGCGTGTCCAGAAGCAAAGCGCCCTGCTTCCAGCGGGCCCCAATTCAGACGCTCCTTCATGAAAAGGATCGCCACCGAGTTCAGCGGTGCATAGTTCAGGAACTCATACATGCCCAGCACGCCCGCCAATAGGCAGCATTCCGGGTCTAACAGCAAGGTGGTGTAAGCACTCTTCTTCCCACCTCTGGCAGTCGGAGTTTTCGGGGATGTAGGCACAGATCCTGGCTCCCCTGAAGCTTTGCAATCCTTGACATCTCGGTTCGTTTCCGGCAGGCATGCCGAAGCAAAGGCCAGAGAAAGTAATGGTGCAACTGCTGTGCAAAGATACGTGGAACGAGGACCTGCTCTTGCATTCCACCAACCAGACAGGTAGTTTCCCAGGATGTTGCCGAAGGCCTACAGGAGAAACTAGCAAGCACATGGCATGAGCCTCAGGACTTTCGTCGCATGGCCTGAGATGCACCCAGTTGAGCTCGAGCTCTTGGCTGCTTATCGACCGGGTAGACATCGGTGATCATAGTTTGACACATGCCGATAAACGGCTGGATTCCTTGGATGCATCTATGCGATACCAGCATCACGAGGAAGACAAGAATGCTGAACAGGCAAGGTTAGGCAAGCCACCGATAGCTCGTGCCGATGCAAAGTCCAGCCACCTTTGCTCTCTCGTTCACCCGAGCTTCTGTTTCTTTACCTGTCTATTTCCTTGCATAGAACATGTTCAAGGACAGACCGCATCAAAGGATAAACCAAAGAAGATGACTGAAGCTGAGCGGCAGCAATCGTATTCTGGCCACAGGTTGCTCGACAAGCGCACACAGTGTGCGCATGATTGCTGGCCCGATCATGAAAAAAAGCAGGATCGGCTTTCTGCCAAAGCGATCAGACATCTTGCCAAACACTGGGCTTAAGAAAAACTCTGCTACGCTGCCAAGGGAATATGCGGTTGCCAGGCCACTGGTGGCCTGGACCACGGCAGCTTCCCCAAGTGGGCTCGCGGTCTGTGTAATGAGGAGCTGCCGGGCTTGTAGCGTGGCAACTCCCGCGCAAGAGATCGCAGAAGCAGTGGCTCGCAGAATTCGCATGAAGTCCGGATTATCGGCCAATGCATTGCGGATTCTGCTTCGCGATGCCATGGCCGCTGCAAATCAGGTCTCAAGCAAGAGCTAGCATGCTCTGTTTCTATGTCGCTGGCAAAACCTTCCCTGCTTCCACCGAACATGATGCATCGATATATCGCCAGATGTCAAGTTCACTCCAAACGGCTTCAACGACGCTGCAACGCGGCTGGTGGCACGGCGGGTGGCCTCGGTGGCTTGCCTGCATTAGTTATGCTGGGCACCTACCTGCTCCTTTTTGAGATGCTGAACCAGTGCGAATTCTGCAAGAAACTCCAACAGGGCCTCACGCCCTACAGTGTTGAAGTGGTTTTGGAGGGCCTAGTGCCCTGCGGCCGCTTAGGACCATGCAAAAATGCTTCGAAGGGCATCCCCTCTTCAAGCTCAGGAGTGCCACACCATTAATTCTGTCGCACCAAGAAGGAGCTCTGGTGCAGAAGCTCCTGCGGAGGTGCAAAGACGTGACAAGGTTGCAACACGTTGGAAAAGCTGCAGGCTGCAGCACTGTCACATCAACCCTGCACAGCTGCCGCTGGATCCTGGATGATGGCGATCAGAGCCACAGATAGCATGGGTGCTCCCAGTGGCAAAGCTCGTGGTTGGCCCTTCTGTGCAGCGGCTCGCAGCCATAGGCGGGTGAAGAGCTGCGGTGCAATCATCCGAGCCACCGCTCCGATGGCAGACCTCACTCCCATGGCCTCGGCATTTGAAGCGAGCTGTGTCCCAGAAACAAATCGTGCCTGTCGCTTAGGTGTGTGCACACATTATCAGTTCCCCCGTTTCCCGACTCTCAGCAAACTGTCTCCCGTTACAATGTGGGCCAGAGCGCAATCACGATGTGTCACACACCGCTTGGTCATATGAGTCATAAACATGGATATCAGTGATATCAGTAAGATATGCATGTCCAGTCTCACAGTCTCCAAGCTGTGCAAGCCCCATCATATTTGTGGCCAGGATACTTCGCCTGGTGACAGCCCAAGCTGCATGGCCCGTTCCATGTAACGGGTCACCAAGACGGTGGCTCCGCCTCGAAAGGCTGTCTGCAGGTTCAAGATGGTTCAAGTTCGGCCGTGCCTCTCTGTGAACAGAGTAACTATCCAAACTGTGCTCTTTCCTTCTGAAGCGCCCGTCCCGCTAAAGCTCAAGGGCAGCAGGCATGCGATCAGGCTAGGGCCAGTGGTGGACATGGCCCATGTCGCATAGGCCACACTCGTCAACAGGTTGGTGACGCTGACATACAGCCTTTTGCCAAAGAATCGCATTAATCTTCCTGCCAACATAGATGCGCAGAACCCCGCCAGAGCGTGTCCAGAAGCAAAGCGCCCTGCTTCCAGCGGGCCCCAATTCAGACGCTCCTTCATGAAAAGGATCGCCACCGAGTTCAGCGGTGCATAGTTCAGGAACTCATAGAGGCCGAGAGCGCCACCGATCAGCAAGCTCTCCGGATCAAGCAGCAGGGTTCTATAAGCACTCCTCGTTTTGCCGTCGGTGACACTGCAAGAGCTCTGCGCGTCCCTGGAAGGCCGTCCATCTTTGATCTCTGCGTTTGTCTCAGGCAAGCAAGCTGCAGCAAAGGCAAGGGAAAACAAGGGTGCAGCTGCTGTGCAGAGATAGGTCGACCTCGGGCCTGCCCGCAGGCTCCACCAACCAGACAAATAGTTTCCAAGAATGCCACCCAAGGCCTGGCAATTGCCATGCAAGGGAAGAAAGAAAGTGTCGCCAGCACCGAAAACATGTTCCCTGCTTCGAAGCTACCTGTGAAGCGGCAAGCTGTGCTCTGGCAGCTGGTTGCTGGTCGACCGTGAACACATCCGTGACCATAGTGCCACACATTCCCAAAAAAGGCTGGATGCCTGTGAGAGGGTGCGCTTCTGAGAGCTACTTGACGCCACAAGTGACTGCCGATGATTGCACTCTTGACTAGGTCCTCTAGGTAAATCTCCTGCATGAGACATTCTAAAGACACCGGCAAGTCGCCAACAGCCCGCGCCGATGCAAAGTCCAACCACCTGTGCTGCGAAGAAGCGCGATTGTTCACTTTGGCTCCATCGAGCAATGTCATCGGGCAAACGCCACCCTTTGTACAACCCGGACCCACACACCCCTACATACCCGGCAGTCACAAGGAAAAAGCTGAGGTAAGTCTTCAAAAGAGTCCACAACAACAACAACAACAACAACAACAACAACAACAACAACAACAACAACAACAACAACAACCACGACGACGACGACGACGACGACGACAGCGACGACGACGAAGACATCAACAACAAAAGAAGCAAGTAAAGATGACTGAAGCTGAGCGGCAGCAATCGTATTCTGGCCACAGGTTGCTCGACAAGCGCACACAGTGTGCGCATGATTGCTGGCCCGATCATGAAAAAAAGCAGGATCGGCTTTCTGCCAAAGCGATCAGACATCTTGCCAAACACTGGGCTTAAGAAAAACTCTGCTACGCTGCCAAGGGAATATGCGGTTGCCAGGCCACTGGTGGCCTGGACCACGGCAGCTTCCCCAAGTGGGCTCGCGGTCTGTGTAATGAGGAGCTGCCGGGCTTGTAGCGTGGCAACTCCCGCGCAAGAGATCGCAGAAGCAGTGGCTCGCAGGGCGAGCAGGAAGTGCTGGTCTTGCGCTGCATTGCGGCTGCTGTTTCGCGACACCATGGCCGATGCGATCGACTCTACTCAACTCACTACTCATCAAAGCAAACGCTGCAGGCAGAGCCAAAGGCAAATGCCGAGGCTGCTTTGAACGCAATCCTGCTTGAGTAACAACTTTGGACCAATGTCATAATTACATATTAACACCAGTCAGGATATCCCGCTCCGCAACGATCAGGCTATCATCATTTCATCATTTCATGGAGTGACATCAAAGTGCTTCTCTTTTCACAGCGGCGTAGCTTTCAGCGTAGCTACTCCTCCCAGCCACCACAACTGCATTCCTTTGGCTGTCGCCAACGCCGGCCAGTCAAGGCTTCGTGCCAGGATCGCCTCATCTGGCACCTGAAAGCTTTCTACGGCGTCGCGAGAGCCCATCAAAAGTCCACCCCGGCCTTCCAGGGCCAGAACACTCACCAACTCCCCTCCCCGCTTCGTCAGCTCGTTGCCAATTTCGGTGGTGCCCGAGACCTGAACCTCGAAAGAGTCTCCTTTCGGCGGCACGTGATCCAAGGAGATCCTCCGCTGGTGTCCAACACCGTAACCGCCTGCATCTCGATGTTCGTTCAGCCGAACTGGGGCCATTGGCTGCGCTGGGACCATGGCGGAACACCCCAGGAGCGAGCACTTCAAATGCCCTGTCATGTCATCCGGACCCTCCAGTGTGTGCTGGAAGAATTCGTAGTGCCACTTTTCCGGAATGACCTGATTCATAACAGGCTCCACATTGCCTGATCCTATGGACAGGCTTGCACTGGTGTGCTTTTCGTGAACCAGTACCGCTCCAGCTTCTGCTGGCAAGCGCTTCGCAATCTCAGTTTCTAATTGCGTTGCATTCCTTGCGGCTGCCATTACGGAAAACTCCTCCCGTCGTGCTGACGGACGAAATGTGACCTCAATCTCCACCGGATCCGCGCACCCGCTGCGGAGGTCAATCAAATAGATGCCTTGCCAAGTTCCCATGCTGAAGTTGCCCGACGAGCACGGCAGCGTTAGGGACTTGCGAAAGAGCAAGGACTGACCTGCACCTCAATCTATGAGCATGAGATAGCATCAGGAACTGCAAATCGCGACAAGGACTACCTGGCCTGGAGGATGGAGTCGAGGGATCGCTGCGAGATGATCTGTGCGCACATCTGGGTCGGCATTTTCGTTTACGCCTTGGGCCGATCTGCGGGCGCGCACACAGACGCACATCCCTGATGAACATGTGTTCGCTGCTGCCGAGCTGCTGAGGGACACTCCATCAGCCGGGCTGACGATGCACAAGTTTGCTACCCCGGGTCCTGACAGATGTCAATTCATGTCAACTCTTGCTTGGCAAATGGCAGTGGGTCGCTGGCATTGCAACTTCACTCCTCGGCCCGTCCCTTTCAGCAGTGGAGCCGATTCAAGCAGCCTGGGCAGAAGAGGCTACGAGCAATGCAGACGAGCGGAGGACACAAGGGCGTTCTCTTCCTTGCAATGACAAGCCACTGAATACTGCCAGCTCGGGACACCAGCTGAATCAGGACCATGCTGAGAACGGGAAAGGATCGCGCTGCGAAGTGTCTTTTAAATTGATAAACTAGCCAACACACCAACACAAAGTAGTGCCCTCGGTCCATGCATTGCAGCTGTCGCGAATAGTAATCATGAGAAAAACATCTGGAGCCAATAGCATCCAAAATCATCCAAATAACAAACTGAAGCTTTGGCCATCGCGACGTTTCGACCGGCTATGGCATAGGACATTGGGGTTCATATCGGGGCTACGGAGAAGCGGCAACTGTTGGAAAGTGGCGTGCTCTTGCGTTGGACATGCACCCCTGAAGTCTGATGCCAAGCTGTGCAAAAAAGCAAGCCTTCAAAAAAGAATTACATGCATTAATCCACGAACTTGAACCAATGTTTTCAACTTGTCGGAGGTCTTTTGAGTCCAAGCTGACCGCAGGCGGCCGACCACGAGCGGCCCAGCTTTGTGGAGAAGCGGATTGTGGCATTCGGAGCGCCCAAACTGCGCAGCTTGTCACGAAATCTCTTGCAGGTGAGGTCGGAGGGCGGCCGATACCCATGCGCAGCACCGGCATCCGTGGGATTGTAAGGAATCAGGTTGATGCCTGCACACTTGATCCGCTCCTCAGTGATAAGATTGGCCAAAGCAACTGCCTGCTCATCCCCATCATTCACATCACGAATAAGAATGTATTCGATAAGTACGCCAGTGCCGGTGGTCTCCTCAAACTCACGGACGGCAGAAAACACCTGTGGCAGCTTCCAGGACCTGGAAGCCACCGGAAGCAGCTCCTCTCTCAGCTCTTGCGTGGGTGCATGGAGAGACAAGGCCAGATTCAGGCCTTGTGGAGCATCTTTTGCAAGCTTTCTTATTTGAGGTGCAACTCCCACCGTGGACAGAGTCACCTTGTGGCCCGAAGCACGGAGCATGCGAGCTGCTCCGAGCACATTTCCGTAGTTCAACAAGGGCTCTCCCATACCCATAAAGACCACGTTACTCACTTTCTGACTACCTTCGCGCTGCAGCCATGCTTCCGCATGCAATACTTGTTCCAAGATAGCCCACTCTGGCAAGTTGATGCCGCCACCTGAAGCCTGGCGGATTAAGCCTGTGTCACAGAAGCGACATGCCATAGCGCAGCTTCCTTGCGAAGAGGCGCAAATTGTGCCCTGGAGCTCGCCGGGTCGCATCTTTGAGACGATGACGGCGGTTTCGATCTGCATGGCACTGGGTAGGGAGATCAGCAGCTTGCCACCGCCAGAACTCAAACTGCCATCGCAGCGAAGCACTCGGCTTGCGAGTCCGCAGCCCGTGTTCCGAGTCGCCTCGAGCATCGGAGATGCAGGTCCGAGATCCAGAGCCAGGTTCCACGAGTCCTGGTTTCGCGAATAAAACTCCGCATGCCTAACCAGATGGTTCCAAATGCTGCGTTTGCTTCCGGATTCCGCATGCCTTGTGTCCAGCACGCTGGCCACAGACTCGAAACTCCGTCGGAGCTTACCTTGAACCAGTGACATCCCGCAGCTCGCACGCACCGTCGCTGGCGAGAAGCGAAATACCATCATGAGATACCATGCAGCTTGGGGCTTTGGAATGGCCCCAAATGAGTCTTGAAAGCAAAGGCATGAAGAAGAGTGGTGAGCAGGTGCTTATTGTGCCATGACTTCGGGACTTTCCGAATTGACATCATATGTGCAACATGTGCCCTCCCCCCTGCCCTTGTGGAATCTTCGCCGCACCATGCTGGCATTGTGCTTGGCAGCTCTAGCCCATGCTCTAGCACTCACATTCTCCTTGCAAAGCATGCTGTCGAAATTAAGGAAGCCCTGTGGTAAGGTTGGATATTGTTCCTAACGAGCCACTCAAACGGCTCAAACTGAAGTGAGTTTCAGGATGGTTCAGGTGATCAACAACTTCACAGGTGCCCAGAAGCTGAGGTTGAAGCATGCACTCATTGCGAGCAACTGCTCGAATGCAGGCAAACTCGAACTTCCAGCTCGATGGCTAATGACATCGCCTATATGTCCCGAAAAAGAAGAATGCGTCTGATATTTCGTAAAGGAATCCAGCTCACACGGCACTTTTGCTGTGAAAAGCCTAAACCCTAAAACCAGCAAACCCGAAAAGCCACGCTGCGATTCCTTTGCTGGAGCCCGACACAATTTTCTTTAGATCCAACAGATCCCGCTTCAAAATTCTCCAAGAACCAGGCACTTGTGGGTACAGCGCCCCGCGAGTGAAAACTGCAAGCCTCCCCTACGACTAGGCCCCCCGCACCGACTGGCATGCCCAGGTGGAAGGGATACTGGATCTTCACAGCACAGCCCAGGGTGACTGCCCAATGCACATCCCGCTCCGAAGTCGCTGTCACAAAGAATACCTCAAAAATCGGGTACAGTAGAAAAGCGAGCCAACACAGAGGAACCCTTGCAGATAGTAACAGATAGTATTGTCTCGTCCCGAAAATAACAAAGTGCTCCTGATAACAAATCCCACCCAGTCAGGCACATGATCGGCCAGTTCGGTTCCAGCTTGCTACCAGTAACTGTAAGCCCAAATGTCAGAGGAAACATACCTGTTCGTTGCCAGGCCCCGCAAGAGAATATTGCATCATATTGCAATGTGGCCTGGCTTGCCTGTTCGGGGTATTGGGTTTAGGGTTCAAGCTTTCAGGGATTTAATCTACACACCCAAGGTCTGCGAGATTACAGGCACGATTACCAAGTGGAGTCAACTGCAGCTTCGTCTCTTTCACGCATGGCTTAGGTCACTTAGTCTGCATAGTCAGCAGGAGACCTTTGTCAGGATCGAAGCCTTAGATTGAGCGAAAGCGCCGACAGTCATTCCCACACAAGCTGTTAAACAAGACACTGCAGGCATCTCAGCCATAAGGGCGAGGCCTTTCTTCTGGACCTCGATTCTTAGTCCCCGTACGGCGATGCGGTCAAACCCTGACCACGCACTTGACTCAGGTTTGCGGCATCGCAAGCTGCCTCTACTGCCACACGAAAGTAAAGGGTCCTGGTGCGAACAGGAACATGGGGAGAAAGCCCAACAGCGGCTTCTCGTCCGGATGTCTGAAGACATGAACAAACACTCCTGCCACGAAAGCAGGTGGAGGCAAAGGCAGGTGAGACTGTCAACGCTTACAGCCCCACCTGTCGGAAGGAAATCCGCGACTTGGCCTTGGAACGTGATGCCTGTCGGCAGTTTCTCCAGCATCTCTGGATCCCGGTTCACGTCCTGACAGGACTGAGATCAGTCTGCAAGACTGTCCATCGCGGCACAAACTTCCATCCTGCATGAGTCTACCCTGTGCGCAGCGTTGTACAAACTTGCTCCTCTGTGAGATGCTGAACACGAGATTGATTTGCAGTCGGCCTACATCACACTCGGACCGACACCTGCTTCTGAAGACGAGGAGGTCGGGTGAGATCCCCGGAACGTTGCGTGAGAAAGATCGCGCCGTTCTCTCCCACCTCCCGACCAGAGAGGGGCATCTCTGCTTGCGTAGACAGCTCGCAGGGCAAGGCGCGGGCCCTGCTGCTTATTCCGGCCTCTAGAACACGTGATTCCACCCGATGCTGCTTTATGAAGATCGCCTTTCAGAGACGGAAAAACAAGGGAGACAGGGAGGACCTGAGCAGACCAGCACGTCTGGCACCGTGGCACCTTGAGGGCCCTTCCGGGGAAACCATCTTCGATTTCGCTCAACTCGAGCCGGGCATCCCTTAGAGACATGAGAAGAGCGCTCGGCAGAAGATGGCAGAAGTGTGCAAGCTCTGCTCACTGTTGCAGACACGACGAGGCCGAGGATCCGCTCTGTGCCAATATCCACGAAGACAAAGCTGCGCCAGACATCCCTGACGGAGTGCAAGTCTGCACAGAAGGGCCGCGAATGCAAACCTCCTGGACATGCAACCTCTCATGTTCGTGCCTGACGAAGCCCGAAACCAGATCCCCAACCTCCCACAGGCTCTCAGTCTCCAACAAGCTCGGAAACGTGGGATGCGGCTGGGTGCCTGCACTTTCTTCCGGCCGTTGGCCAATTTCACTTCCAAGCCCACCACTTCCAAGCCCTGCTCCCAGGTTTCACTTCTCCACGGACAGCGCTAGCAGAGTTCTGCCCGTGAAATCCGCACACCTGACCTTGGGTTCAGGAGCCTTCTGCTTGGTGGGCACCGGCGGCAGCTCTTCCGCCGTGACGGGCCTGAGGCGCGACGTGTGGGGAGCTGAGAGCAGCCAGGGGCACATGATGGCACATGGCAGCCCACACGCTCACAGCAAAAGGATCTGCCGAAAGCGCAGCCACGTGGCCATGAGAAGCCTCTTGGCCCCACCACAGAAACCGCGCAGAGTGCGAGGGTGGCCGCTACGCCACACCGGCACCGGGCTTTGGCGCGCATGGCGAAGGCCCAACGTTGTTCGGTATAGTCTTCAACCGGTTTAACACCTGGTAGAGTCTTACGGTGCACAACTATCCATTCGGTGATGCCTGACACACTGACATGATGGTTGTCAGGACTAGTTTCATGGTTGATGTCGCTTCCGACTTGTTTTTGTAGTCTGAAATTATGAGCCATGAAGCAAACCCCAAGGTAAAAGTGACAGAGTGCTCATGTCAACCTGGGGCGCGGCTTCATGTGGAGTTGCTTGTCCTTTCTAAGATGTTCTTACTTGTGAAGTCTCTCAGGGCTACCCTGACCCGCAAACTTTGCTTTGCACCGTGGCTTCGCTTCCCCACTGCCTTTGCAGCTCTGATGGCTGCCGATGCACCCCATCTGGAATTTGCCCCATTCCACACCCGGCCGAGACGTTCATATCAGTCTGCGGCAAGCATGTCTGAAATGTATAGAAATGTGGGGTATAGGTTTCCCGATCTAGAATCTAGACGATGCAGGATCAACGGTGACCTTAAACCGGAGCGAATGCCTTGCATTCACCAGTTCGGGCGCTGAACCAGCTTTGCTGGATGTCCGCTCCGTCGTGAGCAACTACTGATGGAGTGTGCCAAGCAGCGGTGTTCCGAAGATTGCACCAAACATTTGTCCGCAGTCAATGAAGTGCTGACCTTGCAGCTTAACAAGTGGAAGACCTGACAACGAAAGCAGCGGCGGCAAGTGCCCTGCAGCCAATTTTCATCCACGCGTCCGCATCCTCGGCCATGGATCGACATAGTGCCCAAACGACTCAACACAGACCGATCTTACGAACGGCAACCGCGGCCTTCTTCATCCTCGCAAGCGCAGTTTGGAGAGCTGCATCCTGCTTAAGCTGCATTCACGAACTTGGCTTCCCACGGCTTGCAGGAAAACTTGAGCTTCAGAATCTGTGTCCTCCTCTGCTGTCAGGAGAGCAGCCGATTCACAAAGATGGGCTGCAAACTGCAGCTCTTTCTTGACCTCCAGGAGCTCGTGTCGAGCAATCTCGTGCTCATGTGCAAGCGGGTTGCCGAGCAAGGCAGGATACTGTGGCCGCAACTGTTTGCTCACTGACCAAGTTATCGCCTTTGTTTGCTCGGCGCGTCTTCTCCTCGGACCGACCAATATGCGAATACAGTTCCGCTAGAATACTGGGCAATCGCACAGGAAGCTCTGGCTTGGTTTCACCGATACCGCCATGCGTCTGTGCCGGCGACTTGGTCAGCAGGTTGCACCCATCCTGGGCCAAGGATACTGCAATCACTGAAAACTCAACTCAATCGGCCCTCCGAAAAAAAGAATCTCCTGTTGCCTGCATGACTGAGCTCCGAACCTTCACAGTGCTGCTTCACCAACTGCCTGTACTACATCGTCGAAGGTACTCAGGCAGCAGATCTGGTGAACTCGAGACTCTCCGAAAGCACGGGCCTGAGCTGCCTATGCCACTGATTGCGAGCCACGCCAGGCTGAATCTGACAAAACACACGCACAGTTTCGACACTGCAGATGCTTAGAACTCCAGTGCCTGAGCCTGGCAATCTTTGCAAGTAAAGGGAGGAGCCTCTCAAATTGCAGAGCTACACAACCACTTCTCGCCTGCTCTCGCAAACGCTCCGCCTGCTTCGGCTCTTCACCCGTAGATGGAGTAAGTAGCCTAGGACAATCTGCGATGCAACTTTCAACGGGCATTCGCAAAAGAAGATACAGGGATCAGGTTAGTTGCTCTCACTGACAAAGCAGCTGCACCGGCAAACCTTCTGTGGCCCTGTCCACATTTCCTCAAAACAAGGTTTCCAGCCCAGCAACACACGGATTTCCCGCTCAGAATTTGAAAGTTTTGCGCTTGGAGTAAAACCATTCCAGGAGCACGCCTGAGCCCTGAGGCTCCCGAGAAAACAATGCGCGGGCAGGATTTGGCCCCACTGAGACGGCAACACGAGTTACACGTAAGGGACTCAAGCGGGAACAGTGTTGTTTTCATTGTTAAGGCAAAGGGAGCACGATGGCCCCATGCACCCCGCCCCGACACGAGCCACGACAGGCCAGACAACTACTTGCAGTTTTCACTCTTGTGCATTTCCGGACTCCGTCATGCTCAAGCTTGAGACGAAACACAGCTGCACCACACTGATTAAGTAGGCACTTACCATCTGCAAAACATTATTCCAAATCAGTCGGTGATCACCAACCGTTCAACATTTACCGTAAAATTCAGTCCACAAACTGTAGCTCCACATATCCCTGAACCTGCTAACTTCCCCCCATCTAAACCTAGTGCCCTAAAGCCTGTGTCCTCGCCATGATCTGACCGTATTTTGCCGAATAATCTGCACGTTCCCATGTACGTGCTTGAATCATGTTATTTTACAAAACAGTTTTGTACAGTTCCATACCAGCAAATTGAGGTGACGTAACCTTTAACACTGGTGCGTCTATTTTGTGAGTCTCCATGGCCAGTTCAACCCGTTTTGTTGTCCCCACCAGTTCTGGGGTTGCATGGAAAACAACAGGGACTTTGGTAGCACAGGGAAGCAAAAAAAGTGAAGACTTGCAAGTACGTACTGGTAGCTGCGTGTGGGGACGTGGGGATTTCACAGCGATCATCTCGCGCTGTTTAAACTGTCTCGGCCGCACACAGGAGGAAAGAGGGGACCGTTTAGTGATGTCAGCGCAGACCGCAGACCGTGCAAGAGCACCTAGTATTCCAGACCCGGCCACTCCATGAGCCCAAAATGCACCAGAACACGCATCGCACTGCGGCCGCGGCACGAGTCCCACCCCAAAAATGTGGGGGAACGATTTTGGACAGGAAGCATGAGTCGCAAGCAAAGCGTTCTCCAGAGATTCGAGGATGAGCTTATAACATTTCGGAACCGAACTCAGTGGGGGCCTGGTGGGGGTGAGCTAGTGTTTGCAAGTCGACCCAAGCCGAGCCAAGCCAAGCCAAGCCAAGCCAAGCCAGAATTCTTTTCGCAAGGCTATCCAACTGATAGCCATCGCCATCGCCGGTAGCGCACACAGAAGCCCAAAGAAGCCATAGCCAGCCCAGGCAAGCCGCTTTCTGTCAGTCACCCAACGACTTATAGAATGCCTCATTAATATGCAAGACATCCTCCAAAATCACGTCACAAGCCCTGACCCATGAACGGGTAGTGTCTGATCGTCTCAGTTGTTCGGAGAGCGTCTCGTGAATTTCTTTTCCCACGGGTACAAGAGAACCTCCGACCTCCAATGGTCTCGGGCCGCGGCCGCTGCCAAGGTGTTGTGCCACCGCCTGGCCGGCATCGGCTCGATTTGAGTCTGCGGCCGTGGCCGCGCGCTGGGGTCGTGGCACTTCTTGCACTTCACTCCGTCGAGGATGGAACTAAAGTTTTTGTAGCGAAGCGAACGATCCTGCAGGAAGATGCCGAGCACAGAGGCGGCAATATGAGACGCAGCTGAGCAGCAAGCGAAGAGTGCATTTGGATCCGCGTCCATGTACTGCCACGAGTCACGATGTCCGGTTGCTTTCCGTCATGCAAGCATTGCGCATTGGCTCTGCTTTACACTACTCCCGACACGCTCAAGCAAGCCTGTGAGAGGAAATCCAAGCCCTCACCTGGATCACTGCGAGAGCTGTAAAAGCCATGGCATCGGAACCCACACTAGGACATAGATGCTGGTTATGTTGCACATCTACAAGCACCTCTTAAGGCAATGGCCCTCCTCGTGCTGCACTACCTGCATAACCGCAGCTGTGCCACAGTCACTCCTGCGCCAAGAAACTCGCTGTTACTTTAACCTCCCAGATGCCTGGGCAAAGATGGCAGCATCCATACCTCCCAACGATGGCTTAGCCAATTCTGCTGCAAAGCTGGCTGCGAAAGGAAAGCACATCTAGGCGAAACGGCCTAGACACTCGGCGATTCTGCCACGGCTTGTGCCCTCCACGACTCCCAAAATCCGGGCAATTATGGGATGCACCTTGCACAATCATGCCGATGCGGCACATGAGCTCTGCAGGGTAGCAACAGGCCTGGTGCTTCTTGTACCACGCCATGTCCAAGCATAAAGTCGGATCCTGACACTCTCCCAAGAGCGGTCGGTGTGTGCGGGCAACGTGCCCGGTCCAGCTCCATTTCGTGAGGGTCTCGAGCACGCTCGGCGAGCAAAGACTTGCCCTCACCTTCACCTTCAACAGAAAGACAAGAAGGACACCATGGAGCATGCGAGAGCTGATGCGAAAGCGATGTCAAGCGGAGCTCCAACCTGTGGTGTCACAAACCACGTAGCCGATCTCCTGCCCGGGTCGAACCTGCACGCTATTATGATGGTATGTGGTACCCGAATACTCAAGGAATGGACGGCTCAGAGGGTGGCTTGCTTGCCGCGGGAGAGCAGTCGCAGCGCCACCTTCAGAGAACCGGGACCTAAATAGAGGAAGCTTCTGCAAGCGGAGCTACATTCAGAATGCGTAAGATGCAATTAGTTGTACCAGCTCTTCTCTCTTTGTAAGTCGCTGTTGTCACAGCTCTTGTCAGCAAGATGTAAAGGGAGTTCGGACAAGAACTTCGATAGGCTTCGAGTCATGACACGTCCGGCTGGGGCCATGAGCGGCCGCGGGCCGCGGACGGCGGCAAGGAAGCTGCTGTTGTTGACAAACCCCAAACCCTAAAAGGAGATGCGGGATGAATGGTTGGAAACCCCCGAACCCTAAAAGGAGATATTGGGGAGACCCAAAACCTACAAAGAAGCTGCTCGCCGCGGGTGAGGAGAGGCTGCAGGGGGGCCAGAGCCGTGCGCGGCCGCGGGCCGCAGGCCACGAAACCCTAAAAGGAGATATTGGTTGACCCAAAATCTGCAAGGAAGCTGCTATTGACCCCAAACCCGAAGAGTAGACGGATCGGTTGGGAAACCCCAAACCCTCAAAGGAGCAAAACTTGCAAAGAAGCTGCTGTTGACAAACCCCAGACCCTAAACACTCAAGGAGATGCAGAAACCCTAAACGGCCCTAAACAAAAGGAATAGTTGGAAAACCCCAAACCCTATTTACAAAGATGGTGGTTGACCGAAAGCTGCAAAGAAGCTGCTATTGACAAACCCCAAACCCTAAAAGTAGATGTTGAAACCAAAAACAAACGGAATGGTTGGGAAACCCCAAACCCTCAAAGGAGCAAAACTTGCAAAGAAGCTGCTTTTGACAAACCCCGAACCCTAAATACTCAAAGGAGATGCAGAAACCCCAAACGGCCCTAAACAAACGGAATAGTTAGGAAACCCCAAACCCTATTTTTAAAGATGCTGGTTGACCGAAAGCTGCAAAGAAGCTGCCATTGACAAACCCCGAACCCTAACAGTAGATGTTGAAACCAAAAACAAACAGAATAGTTGGGAAACCCCAAACCCTATTTTTAAAGATGCTGGTTGACCGACAGCTGCAAAGAAGCCCTAAAAATAGATGTTGGTTGGGAAACCCCAAACCCTCAAAGAAACAAAACTTGCAAAGAAGCTGCTGTTGACAAACCCCAGACCCTAAAAGCAGATGCGGAAACCCTAAACGGCCCTAAACAAAAGGATTGGTTGGGAAACTCCAAACCCTACTTACAAAGATGCTGGTTGACCCAAAGCCTGCAAAGAAGCTGCTATTGACAAACCCCAAACCCTAAAAGTAGATGTTGAAACCAAAAACAAACGGAATGGTTGGGAAACCCCAACCCTCAAAGAGGCAAAACTTGCAAAGAAGCTGCTTTCGACAAACCCCACACCCCAAAAAGAGATGCAGAAACCCTAAACGACCCTGAACAAAAGGAACGGCCCCATTTAAAAAGATGCTGGTTGACCCAAAGCTTGCAAAGAAGCTGCTATTGACAAACCCCAAACCCTAAAAGTAGATGTTGAAACCAAAAACAAACGGAATAGTTGGGAAACCCCAAACCCTATTTTTAAAGATGCTGGTTGACCGAAAGCTGCAAAGAAGCCCTAAAAGTAGATGTTGGCTGGGAAACCCAAACCCTCAAAGAAGCAAAACTTGCAAAGAAGCTGCTGTTGACAAACCCCAGACCCTAAAAGCAGATGCGGAAACCCTAAACGTCCCTGAACAAAAGGTTTCAGTTGGAAAACCCCAAACCCTATGAAAACAGATGTTGGTTGACCCAAAGCCTGCAAAGAAGCTGCTATTGACAGACCCCAAACCCTAAAAGTAGATGTTGAAACATAAACCAAACGGAATGGTTGGGAAACCCCAAACCCTCGAAGAAGCAAAACTTGCAAAGAAGCTGCTGTTGACAAACCCCAGACCCTAAATACTCAAAGCAGATGCAGAAACCCCAAACGGCCCTAAACAAAAGGAATAGTTGGGAAACCCCAAACCCTATTTTTAAAGATGCTGGTTGACCGAAAGCTGCAAAGAAGCTGCTATTGACAAACCCCAAACCCTAAAAGTAGATGTTGAAACCAAAAACAAACGGAATGGTTGGGAAACCCCAAACCCTCAAAGAAGCAAAACTTGCAAAGAAATTGCTGTTGACAAACCCCAGACCCTAAATACTCAAAGGAGATGCAGAAACCCCAAACGGGGCCCTAAACAAAAGGATTGGTTATGAAACCCCAAACCCTGTTTAAAAGGATGCTGGTTGAGCCAAAGCCTGCAAAGGAGCTGCTATTGACAAACCCCAAACCCTAAAAGTAGATGTTGAAACCAAAAACAAACGGAATGGTTGGGAAACCCCAAACCCTTAAAGGAGCGAAACATGCAAAGAAGCTGCTGTTGACAAACGCCAGACCCTAAAAGCAGATGCAGAAACCCTAAACGGCCCTAAACAAAAGGAATGGTTGGGAAACCCCAAACCCTATTCAAAAAGATGCTGGTTGACCGAAAGCCTGCAAAGAAGCTGCTATTGACAAAACCCAAACCCTAAAAGTAGATGTTGCAAGAACAAACGGATCGGTTGGGAAACCCCAAACCCTTAGAGGAGCAAAACTTGCAAGTTCTTCCGCTTACACTAGTCCGTTACGATCGGTGAGGCTGAATAGCACAATTATGCGGACGCGCACTTTTTGACGGATGGCTCATATCGCAGCGGGATCCTTCGAGGTCCGGGATAGGTTCGGCCGGACATCGGAAGGAATTTGCGGAATGTGTACGGCCTACGGGCTATATGTACACAAGCAGCACAAGCCAAAGTCCAAAGTCCAAAAAATCCGAAGGAAAATCCAATCTCCCAATACGGAGGAGAGAAGGGGACGGTGGCGGGACTTCAAGAACTAGTACACCGATCGCGGACCGGGCACTTAAATCGTAACGGCTGCGGACACGACTTGCCGTTGCGAGTAAGCGGAAAAACACATTACGACCCGTTGAGAAACCAGAAGCTGCTGTTGACAAACGCCAGACCCTAAAAGCAGATGCAGAAACCCTAAACGGCCCTAAACAAAAGGAATGGTTAGGAAACCCCAAACCCTATTTATAAAGATGTTGGTTGACCCACAGCATGCAAAGAAGCTGCTATTGACAAACCCCAAACCCTGAAAGTAGATGTTGAAACCAAAGACAAACGGAATGGTTGGGAAACCCCAAACCCTCAAAGGAGCAAAACTTGCAAAGAAGCTGCTGTTGACAAAACACCAGACCCTAAAAACAGATGCAGAAACCCTAAGCGGCCCTTATCAAAAGGAATGGTTGGGAAACGCCAAACCCTATTCAAAAAGATGTTGATTGACCCAAAGCCTGCAAAGAAGTTGCTATTGACAAACCCCAAACCCTGCCAAACCCCAAAAAGCGATGTTGAAACCCTAAACACTTAACAAAAGCAATCGTTGGGAAACCCAACACCTAATTGGAGATGTTGGTTGACCAACCCCAGACTCCAAAAGGAGATGTTGAAATCCAAAACCCTAAAAGGAATGGCTGGGAAACCCGAAACCCTGAAAGGAGATGTTGCTTGAGTCAAAGCCTGCAAAAAAGCTGCTACTCACAAACCTCGAACCTGAAAATGCGATGCTGAAACCCTCAACGAAAGGAGTGACTGGGAAGCCCCAGACCCTAAAGGGGATGTTGGTTCACCACAAGCCTGCCAGGAAGCTGCTATGATTTGACAAACCCCAAACCCTGAAAGGAGATGTTGAAACCTAAACAGAAGGAATGGTTGGGAAACCCCAAACCCTAAAAGGACATGCTGGTGGATCCAAAGAAGCTGCTCGGCGAACCCTAATGCTGTTGTTATTGTTGCTTTTGTTGCTGCTGTTGCTGTTGTTGTTTTTGCTGCTGCTGATGCTGCTGGTGTTGTTCTTGTTGTTGTGGTGCTGCTGATTCTGCTGGTGGTGTTGTTGTCGTTGTTGTTGGTGGTGGTGCTGCTGCTGCTGATGCTGCTGATGTTATTGTTGCTGTTGGTGGTGCTGCTGCTGCAAAGGGGGGCGTGGCTGCTTGGCCGCGTTGCCGCAGGCCGCGTGGCCGCCGGTGTCGTGGCCGTGTGGCCGGGCCGCGTGGCCACAGGCCGCGGGCCGCGCGCAAATGATACTGTTGTGTACTGTTTGTTTGTCGTGTCTAAGGTCCGGTCACCGACCTATCGGGAGCGACACTGCAAGACTTTGCAGCTGGATTTGTTCAGGACTCAAACCCACAAGCTCGTGTCTGGCAACTTGGCAGACTTTCCCGTATCAATATTAAGGAGTGTTGTCCATCCAACAAACCACGGAGTGCGAGAGGCATTTTCTTGACCAACTCTGGCAGCTGCTGGAATGCCATATTGTGCATCGTGAATGTTGAATGCCTTCCGTATGTGGGACGGGAGATGACGGGAGTTTTCACATGTAAAGCTTAGATTTCTGCATCCGATGTGGGGGGGGGCAGGAGCCGCTGCCAGGATAAAGAACATGCACAGCGGCTGCCCGTGGGTTGCGAATGTTCGGATATGCTCCAGAAACGTGAATGCTTCCTGCGGTAAAGTGAATCTTGTCCTCGAGGGCCTATCCTCTCGATTGGAGCTGGAACTTCGCCATTGCAGGGTTGCCGGGCTTCAAGCTCCCCTTTCAGCGTGTCAGCTGTCTACAAAATCAAACCGAAACTTCGCACCACAATCCCGGTTGATCTTCGAGGTCAACTGAAAGCCGAAACTCAATCGACAAGTGCGCGCGGTCACGGTTAGCCTGGACATGCGGCTGCTTCTTGGCGTCTGGATAGTCCTGTTGCAGGAATACTGGGAAAAGCCGTGAATGCGGTGCCCTCAGCAGTCATAGTGTTCCGTTGGTGTCCTTCGGATCCTTGGTGAGACCCTTCGTGATCACGAACTTGTCCAGTGGCACCTCCCGACACCAGCTGCCACTAAGAAAGTCCACATGTAGAGCGATTGTCCGATGCCTGGCCGTCATCCATCTTCTTCGCTTGCTCACTCAGGAACTGGTGCACCCACTCGATGGACCTGGATAGAGACAGAGTTTGAGCGCCACCAGCAGCTGGCTTAGGCCCTGGCTCTTCTTTGTTCATATTGGGATCGAGAATCTTTGTGAGGATCGCCTCCGCCCGGGACCCACACTTCGCTTGCATGTCGGATGCTCTGCCCGGGTTGAGGCTCCCACTTCTCCCATCTCCTTGGCCAGACCGCACCAATCCCTTCGCACGATGTCCAGGCCTCCGAATTGGCACAAGTTCAACATTCAGACTCTGAGAAACTGCAACAGACAGTAACTTACCCAGAGCCGAGCTTATGGGCAAGGGAGCTCTGCACTCGGCCTTTGAGCTCTTGCTCGAAGAGCTTCTTTTCCCAGTTCACAACCTGACAACGGTGACACGAACGATGATTCGTCCGTCTTCCCGTCTTACAACACTCAGGGGCACCTTGAGAGCCGCATATTTCTTCTTCTTGAGAAGCATGAGACGCACCTCTGTAAACAGCACAATAAGTTGGGGGTCATAGCGGTGCGGCGCGGACCACAAGTAGGCGACTAGGAGGCTTGTCATGTGTCAATCTGTGTCAACACACCACCCTCGACTGGGTTGGGCTCTCGTGATGTCTGCCGCATGTTGCCATGCTTCGATCTGCGGCCTGAAGTTCCCGACCCCACCTTCGCGTGGCAACAACTCGTGGCTTGCGGAGTTTGCGGATGCTCTGGTCGGGAGGCTCATCATCCGTCATCCACCTTGCTGGATCATCGCCTTCCATCCGCAGCGTGGGAAGTGGTGTGAAGTGCAACGTGTGCTGGCGAGGTCCAGGGTTGGAGCATGCCGAACCGGTCTTCACTTCTGCATACTACTGGAATGACCATGCGAGCTGGGCTGCATCCCTCCCCAATGAGTCTGAGATCACCAGTCTCTCCCCAGCCAGGTTTGCAGACTCAAACAACTTTTCTTTGCAAGCACAATTCCTGCTGCAGCTCCTTAAACACACTCAAACACTGACTGTGATGCTGGCGAAGACTGCATCGATCTCGATTTCAAGCCGGCGATACCTTGAACAGCATTGCTCATAATTTGGTGCGCTGCACTTCAGAAGCGAGCATCCAGCCTTTTATTGACCGCACGCTTGATTTGCTCGGCAATGTGCATCGCCTGCTTGGGCAAACGCAACGCTTTAGTCCGAGATTGACTGGAAGCGAGCTGGAAACAGCCGAAATCACATTGGGGCCTTCTGGAAGTCAGCTGTCTTCGAGTTGACGAAGACGGAGTCTGTGTCACCATACACCTTGTGGCCGGCAACATCTGACCAAGCGCTTATGCAAGGATACTCTGTATCCGTGTATCCTCAGGCTCCTTCCACCTCCAGTTGCAATTCCTGCTGCACGACCTGCTCCCACAATTCCGATCATCCGCTGCTCTCATCACACATTCCGAACGAACTTAGGCAAGAACCGTCTTCGTGCTCTGCAAGGCTTCTCGGCCTTTTGCCGTAATGAGCGCTGCCAGGGGCTTTGCCTGGGCAAATGGCAATCGAGAATACGAGTGCGGCCAAAGGCTTCATCGTGTAAGGCTGGTGCATGGAATCGACTGTTCTGAAAACCCAAGCAGCCATACCTCATTTAGGCCAGCCATGCGCTGTGCTGCAAGCTTTGCGGAACTCTGCTGAGCACAGGGCATGGAGTTTGCTGTTAGCTTGAGCGCCTGCGACGTGCAGCTGCACAGTGCAGTCTTAGTGGCAGCATCCATGAAATGGAACCACATCAACAAAATCGCGGAGCCATATCTGCCTTCTGACGGATCTCTAGCATCTGTAGAATCTTTGGATTCTTCTCCTGAGCGCAGCGTAGCAAACACAAGCAGCCGAAGCTTGTCCGGCAAAGCATCCGACCGACTTCATCGATGCTTTCACGACGCGACGACTGTCGACAAGACGTCGCAGCACCTCGGCATCACATCGTCTTGAAGCTGACGAATCTTTGTCATCTAGCAGTCTACCAGGCGCACCTGCGGCAAAATGCCTTCTTCCGCTCCATCTGGTTCACGCGTCTGTGACAGTAGCTGTGCCTGAAACAGGAAGCAGTGAAGGACTTGCCCAAGTTAACCCAGATGGTAGCAATTTAACTGCTGCGTGCGGTGACCTCGCTGGTCATCTTCGCAACCTCGTTCTCGTCAGGTCGGTCCACTGTGGTAAAGCAGATGTTGTACTCCTCGCAAGCGCTTCAGGAACTGTGGCTTCTCCACTTGCTGATTGATGAGCTGACCTGGATGATGGAAGGGTACAAGCTGTTGAAGTCCAGAAGCATGACAAGATCGTCGTACAAGCCGGCCTCTCCGAAACAGTCTAGAGGCACTAACGTGAGTGTCAAAGCTGCTGCGTTTATCTCCAGACAGTTAGCTCGCTACCAGCCGTGCATGCAAAACTGCATTCAGATATCCTCTGCGAATCCATTCGAGGTCTCCTGAGGTCTTTGGTTTGGAGCCGATGCACGGGCAACGTGCGTTGGCACAACACTGTTCCACTGCCGTGAGAACCGACAACGCAGAAACTATGAATTCGTCTGTACAAACATCAGCAGCTACTCTTCCACCTCAGCAGAAAGTGAGAATCAGATATCAGCTGCATCAGAGCTATCTCAGTCCCTCGCTGAGAAGACGTGCCAAGAATGATGGCTATACGTCTCTCCCGGTCGCAGAACCGGGCTTTCAAAGTGACTGTGATGAACCTTTGCTGCTCGCACGATTGCGTGCTGGCTTCAAAAGCGCCGCCCTGCAAACTGAGACACGCACTCCATCCGGCCAGAGTTGCGGCTCCAAACAGATTGCTCCGAACTGCTTCCACTCACTGCCCTTGGTCGCTTGGACAGAGCCAGAGACCAAAACAAACATCCCCTACTCCACCTTCCCATTCCACCATGTTTCGGGACCTGAACATCAGACCACCGATCCGGCAGGTCTCTTGCTAAATGCTTTGAACACGCTTTGCTGTTGACTTATGATGGAAAAAACGTCGAGCTCCTTCCATGCATGACATGCCCCGGCCTGTGGTGCCAATGTTGCTGCCGGTGAAGACCTGCAAATAACGTGCCAGGGCCAGTGCCCCGTCTCTTCCACAACAGCCTCCTATGGCTTGATGGGGAAAAAACATGGCCTGCAAACCTGGCTGGTCCGTCCATACCTCCATGGTGACCTGAACTACTCCAGACGCAAGCAAGTCTATCGGCCAACGGCTAACGTCATGGGAGCGGGCCTTGTTTGGGCCCACCAATCGCGCAGCCATCATCTCCCTCTGACCATCCGGCCGGTCCAAGCCTCGCATCTGCAGGCACCAGAAACACCGAGGGGTGCTAGGCTGCATCAGGCCGCTGCAGTAGTTGCGATCAATTGGACCACCGGCTTTCACTGCCTTGGAACAAGCATACCCCTTCAGGCCCTGAGCTCCACCAGCACAGCCCTGGCCAAGAGGAACAAAACCGGGCCTCCTGGAGCAGGCGTGGCTCTCGCCTGAGACGGGGGAGGGGTCCCAAGGCCCACGGCTTCGGATGTCGGAATCTCTACATTCTCTACTGCAGTAGCAACCCTCAATCCGAGGTACAAGTCCAGGGGCGTCCCAGCAACCTCGGGCAGCTCGCCTTCCCGAAAGCCACACGCCACTCCTATTGACTGCAAACGACTCCCTTCAGCCTGTGATGGCAAGGCTATCATCAGTTGCTGTCGTCCGCGAGGCTGGCACCATCAAGATGTGATCAAGCACGTTACCAGCCTGATGCGGCTTGCACTTCGATCTCCCACGATTGTGTAGCAAGTGAAGCTAGTACCTTGTGGCCTTTGAGGTTCCAATAGGCATGGTTGGTCCTGAGACATAGCAAAACATGTGATGCCAAAACGATGCCCCAGTCCGCCAAGCTGCATGCTCAAGAGCGTGGGCTTATCCGAGATGCCACTGTAGCGGAAGTGCAACTCGCCTCCGCCTTTGCTCAAACGTGCGGGCCCGGGACGAAGGCATACCAAGGCGGGGAATGGCGGCAGCGGCTGGGCGGCTGGGGCCGTAGCTCACTTCGTATGTGACACTCACCTCGACCTCCATGGCAAGCTGCGCAAGGAGAACGAACGACGATTATGCTGCAATACCACTGCTTTCGTTCGCCTTACCGGGGTAGCCCATAAAGCCGTCCGGCTCTGTCAGGATCAGAGTTGCCTGACGAGACACACGGTTCGAGTGCCCAGCGTGCTAGTCCGACAATCAATGACCTGTTTCTCTGACACACTGGCCACGTCGAAGACTTGGGAATAGAATCCCTTTGTTCCTGCAGTGATCTCGATGAGGTGCAGATTACAGCGACTGCTGCGTTCACAAGAGGCACGAGTCTCGAGAGGCACCTCCATGCAAATGATGACTGCCATTGTTGGTGTCCAGCGTGAACTGCTGCCCATCCAGCTCGAAAGTACCATTGGCAATGCGGTTTGCACCTTCAGCAGCTGGGCAGATCCGTGTTTCGCAGCTAGGGGACAGGGATTTGATTGTTCGTCCGGAGGGCACATGGTCACATGGGTCACAATCCTCCGACAGATTCCCTGGACTTCGGACGTGGATGTGGGAATGTGGCATATGACACGAAAACAATAGGCACGCTTAGAACAGGCAGAACTACTTCTCCAAACCAAAAATTATTTCTGCATGCAGCTTTCTCACTCAGACCTCTGGAGCTTCCCAGCCTCTGCACTCAGGGTTTTCTGCCAGTTAGAGAACTTGCAATCCACTCCATGTGCACATATCTGCGTTTGCAGAGATACATGCACCAGCAGATACAACTTTTGGGGCGGGAGGGAAAGTCACAGCTATATTGCCACAGAACTCGTCTAGAGCCTGTGATAGCATTCGGAATCACAGTTGATGCCTGAGCTCTTCCATGCTCATGCGTGTTATAAGGTATGCACAGCACGCTCAAAAAGCAGATGCAGCACTGCATGGTTTATTCAGGAACGGGTGTGCTGAGGGGAAAAAGGCAAGTCTGGCAAGGGTGCCTCAGCGGTTTCCCTTTGTGGAAGGCGATGGAGCAAGATGAAAAACCGGAAGTAAGCAGCACAAATTGAAAGAGCCACCTCGCCCCGCCATGGCGCAAAGCATGCATCACTGCGCAAGGCGGAACAAAACCTCACCGAGCGCCCCTCGCCATGTGTCCCCTCCCCCCGCCCCCCGCCCCCCCCCCCACTCTGCTGTTAATTTCTCTGACTCTGGACTGAGCTTCGCACAGCGGCCCACCACGGTGCCAAAATTCGGCTTGCCCCCGTTCACGTACCCTTGGGAACAGCTGCGAAGCGATCTACAGCTCACCCTGTTGTTCTCTGCTGCTTCAAGGACTTGTCCTCTAAGCTAGGGAAATATGTGTTGCCCACAGACGGTGCAAAGGCTAGAATCTAGAATCGTTTGCAACATCCACCACTTCTTGAAGCACCATGGCAACACCGTCTATTGTGCTGCTCCCCGGCAAAGGTGTGTGTGTGTGTGGGCACCACAGATTGCAGACAAGCTGCTTTCCAAAGATTCGTAGCCTCATCAAGCCAGAAAGCGCAGAACCACCACAAGGCCACAGTCAACAGCCAACATAAACTCCTAGGGGGCAGGCCAAGCACCACATCCAGCCACTCTCCTTTCACCTGGAGCCAAGTGAAACCTAACAACTCTGGCTCGCCCCCTGCCTCCTGCCAGCAGCCTTGAGTCGCACAGCCACAAGAGCAGCTCCCAAACTGCAAATGTCCACCTTGAAGTTTCGGCAGGGCTCTGGCGTCACAGGAGAAGGAATTCTAACAAAGCTGGCGCCTCCAGGCACTCTGTCTTCAATGTGACGAGCTGGACTTCTCTGCCATCGACACTGCCCCAAAGCATGTTGCTAACCAAGAGTTACAAGCGCCCTACTCCAAGACGGCAAGATTGCAAGATCCTTCTCAGCTCGTGTGCACGGGAGGAACTCTTGCATTCAAGCATGGCTTGAGCCAGCGAACGGCTGTTGTGCTGCGTCCGGGCTGTCAGCGCACGCGAACTGCAAGCTTTCTGCAATCTCCGGCGCCTGCGGCTCCAGCACGAGGCCTCCACTGTAGGCCACCTTGCCCTTTCGGGAGCCAGTTGCCTGGGTTTCGATAGAATGTGAATAATATGAAGGTTTAGTCGGTTTGGACTCAGCGTGCATGCCAAGATCTCCGACCTGTGCTTCAGGTTCGTCGGGTTCATCGAAGCCTGCCGAGATGCCTTGTCCACCTGCAGAGAACATCTGCATGCATGAATATGCATCATGCCTGCATCATGGGTATGCCTACGCAACAACTTGCTCTCGCCCGCGGAGTATTAAGCCTTCGATTTGGAGACGCCGCTTCTTCTGCGACAGGCTTTCTTTGTCTGGCCTTGCTTCAGTGTTAATGAAGGCAAGACGAGCACAGGCACACGAGATTGGAACGCTGCTGCTACAACAGTCATGGTTCATGCTCGGATTCGCGCAAAACGAACTTCTTGCTGTGGAACCTTACTGCAACATCGACAGGTCCAGGGCCGGTTTCAGAAGTCTCTGATGATCTTCGCCGAGATGATTAGGTCCACGCTCATGACACAACAAGAGCTCGTTGCGCTCGGCTCGCTTGTTCTGAAGCCTAAGCATGCAAGAATGTCTTCATAGGTTGTCGAGCCAGCCATCGATGCATACAAGATGATGAACGCATGCTACAAACATAAATTGACGGGAGATCGCCGCGTGCATGCCAGGCCAGTACATGGGTTTGTCGCAGTGCTCGGACTGACGCCTTTGAAAAGAGCGCGGGACACCGCGATGTATCCAGTGCTAGGAACCCAGCCAGGACAGAAGCGATGACTGCAAATGCAGCCACATGCATGTCTTTGATTGACGAAGAAGCGTCACACCTCCCTCCATCATCCACGTTCCCAATCACGGGGGCCTCTCGCAGACACAGCGACGATTTGAGTGTGTGTGGGCGCGCGCAGACAAGATTGACGTCGTCACCAAACGTGAAAGACGACAGTATTGTGTGGTCATGTGAATCCATACAAGCTGTGCACATCGGAAGACACAGGAGCGCAACGCAGAGTTGCCGAAGCCGCTCACAGCGGAAAGTGCGGGCCGGGCAACGGTCCCCGTCCTCCACGGGCTTTCCTGCTCTCCACTCGGCAAACGCCTGCCTCCTCGATCCCATCTTATGCGGCTTTCACGAGGGCCGTCGAGGGCAGCATGTTCCAAGCGGCGCTGCAAGCAGAACCGGCACAACGTCAGGACGCATAGTGTGTTGCAAGGTATTGCACAGCTCGACAAGAATTCGGCACAGAAGCCGGGGAGCCCTGAAAGATTTCAGAATCAGCACCAGCATGAACAGCGAGCGGCAATCAAGAAAGAACAAACCAGGAAAAGAGATGAAGGAAATCGCTGCACATGAAGATCTGCCGACCAACTTGCCTTAGAGTCCGTCACCGGAATTATCTTGCAAGCACTCTGTCAGACTTGCATGGCTTCTCGCGTCAGCAGAGAGTTAAGATTGCAATACTGATCACCATCATTGCAAGTGGCATCTCGTGTCCCAGGTCATCCTGCCACAACCGAGCGGGAGAGTTGCCAAGACACTGTTTCCAAAGCTGTTGTGCTTTCGGATGGTCGGAGATAGCACTGGATGACGACACCGGTACTCCCGTGACCAAACCCAACAACACACACATGTAGTCTATTACATAGCACACATAACCATAACCGTACATACATGACAAGGCATGACGTGACGTGATATACACGTGCCTCTGTGTGTGTGTGCCTGTCACAGCAACCATGTGCCTTTGGTCAGGAGCGACAATGCCGATGGTGTGGAAGCAAAGGCTAAGTCCAGTGCGAACCATTCCACAAATTACCGGCCAAGCATGTCAGCTGCCGGGTCAACGGCCTTTGCAGGCGAACTGCCAAAAGGCTTCCACAAACTAAGCCAGACCCATGACAAGCAGGCACTGCAGAAATCCTTGTCATGAAAGTCCAGCGTTGCGCCACTGGGCCATGTGCCATGCGCACACAGAACAATACTGAGCCGTGTGTTCTATGAGAAAAGCAGGCAGCTGCCTTCTTTCATGTCGTCTTCGACGACAGAATGCCAGACTCGCAGGAACATGGATAGCCCTCCGCTCATCTGCCCTGCACGCATTCGAGACTGACTTCTCACACTGGGGCTCTGCCAATGCTCCATGATCCCACAGCCCCATGAGCATGAACGAGCAGCAGGTGGTAGCCGCATGATGCCGCATGTTCAGTGCTGTTAACTTTACTAACTTTACCATCATTTACCAGTGAGAAAACGAAGCCGCTGACCACAGCCGCAGGAGGCCACGATGAGCCTCTACACTGCATTGTTGCCTTACTTTGATGCGAGAAGGCCATCGTCTGTTCAGAACGTGATCGGCAACTTCTTGGAAGTCACTGGGAAGCCTCAGTGACCATGAACACTATCTGCACAAATGCAATTAGCGCCGCGCAGCCAAGATGCCGAGTATGGCCGTGTGGGCAGGGATCTCAGGCGAATCCCACCTCTCCGATGAAAGCATGAGCACACTGCCCTGCACCAAGCTCTGCGAGGGCTAGATGGCTAGAAGCGTCCAAGTGACGCATCGAGGTGCTTGTATCCGGGTGAGTTGGCAAACTCCAGCTGCTTACGCTTCGCCTTGGGCGCAGATTTTCGTCCCCGGCTCTTCCCCGGACAGGAGGTCTGCATCCCTCCACCTGCCTTCTGGGATTGAATCTCTGCGATTTTTTGTCTTGCTCCCACCGGATTCTTCATTGCCTTCACCGCTTCCTGAATTCAGAGCACTGTCACAAATGCACCCAACGCATGCCACTATGGGCCAATGCAGACGACAGGCCGCCAGTTGGTCATCGAACTGTAGCCGAATGAAAGCCTTGACGAGAAATGGTTGGAAGATCTCACTGCGGCCCCTTGCAAGGCGTCTTCAAAGCGCCGAGAGGCGACGAACTCTTCCTGATCAATCTTTCCACCTTGACTGTCCTTAGTCTGATACGCAATACCGGGATGAACCGCAGACATACCCAGAACGATGTTGCATGTGGAGTGTCATCGACTTTGTCGAAGATCTTGTTGAGCTCATGTTTTGCGCTGCTGGTTTCAGCACCCTGTACAAATCGAGCATCTGACTGAAATACCATTCGCGTTTCTACTGTCCGGCCTCTTTGATGCCGAATAACTCCACTGAGGCCGGTGCTTCCTGGAGTGAAACTTCTAAGCAAAACGGGACGGAAAGCAAACGCACAGGAACGCTTCCCATCGCTTCCCTGCCTCGGCCATTCCCATGAACTCTTCGCGATCCAACAAGTTGTCAACCTGAAGCTCTGCGATGCTGTGCAAATCGATGCACCGACCACAACTGTGCTGCCAAGCAACATTTTTGTCCAAGACGTGAAAAAGCTGTCCAACCTGAGCTCTTGCTGACTCCTGCCCCTGGCGGAGCAACAAAAGAGCTACCTTATGGCTTCGGCGCCAGACGAGGGAACGATTATTGGCGAATCATTTGATCCAACTACACCAAGCCGCCTCCTGCTTCAATCGACAAAGAGAATCCTCAGTTCAGCTCATACCACTTCTTTGCAGAAACGCTCCGGGCATAAAAGTCAAGCCCAAGAGGCAAGATCAACTGCCTCGACCTGCTTGTTGGTTACCTGCCAGAAAGCTTTGAAGATGCAAGCTTGAGGGTGGCGAGATGAAGCCTTTAGCCTTTAGCAAACTGGCCTGGAGAAGGGTGTCCACATCTTCCAAGTTGTCTAGGTGACCAACAGAAAAGATGCACGTCCTCCGACGCTGCCAATGAAACTTGCGGGTTAAGACCTGTAGATCCCAGACTCAGACGCTCCTGGGGCTCCGAAGGTGCAGCGTTTCTCTCCTCGGACACACTTGCAGAACAGCTGGCTGTGCAGGAACTAACTGACATGAAGCTTAGCCACGGCTTCTCCAAACCCCGCAAGTCCACGAATTCACGAAGAATCTCCTCGCGGGACGAGCTTCACCATGCAGTATAGAAAAAAGGCTTCAACTCTCTATGGGCTCCACAACGCGGCGGGCGAACACATAGTCGAAATGCTCCAGAGGCTTGTGCAATATGAGGACTTCTGGGTTCATGACCTGAGAGCGCAAGCGCTGCGATCTGAAATCCAGGTCCAAAGATCAAGTAGCTCTTCCTGATCCAAGTTGCCAGAGCTCTTGCTAAGTGCAGAAGGCACCTGAAGCATCGGGTGAGTGTGACACGGAATCCTTCCTGCGGCATGCAAATCTTGACACACCGGGTCTGCCACTTCTCCGTGAAAGGCAAGCTGTTTTCAGGGGCTTGGTTCTTCTCCTCCGCAAGAGTGCAATGAATGCGATGAAAGAGGAGTTTTTGCAGAGATGGACGCCGCAGTGGGCATCCTGCAGCTCTCGTAGTGCCGACGACTGCGCAGAACCCGACTTTGCCGGTTTTTCAACCACGCGCAACTTGTCTGCCGCCCTGGACTTCCTTAGGACGGTGCAAAAAGCTCGTGGGCGCATATGCGCGCATGGCTCACGAGTCTCGTGACTTGGCAGCTTTGCAAACTGAGCACACGTCTTCACATCTCCCTGGCACATGTCCGGCAATCAGCATCATTAGTACATCCGCGTGGCTGCGTGTCGTACCGCGAAAACGGAACCACAAAGTGTTCAACATAGCCAAGTGCGAGATACTAGAGGGTTCTACGGATGCTTTAACGGCTTTAACTCACAAAAGCCCAAGGACTGAAACTCAGCACAACGTTGCTGCCGTGCCTGTCTCTGCATGGAGGCTTCAACCAGCTTGACAGCATCTGCGCTCAGGCCCAACCGCCTGCAAATTGCCAAGACCTGAAGCGCGCCACGACGGAAAATCCCACAAAGGAGGCCGAGGCAGAGTTTGGGGTGCCCAAGGCAAGCTTTTCGTTCGCAGCGGTTAACTAAAGTTCAGCATGGAGCAGAAGGGAGCATTGACATGGAGCATATATCAATGCGGTCTTGTCAGTCATGTCTTGACAGTCAGGCGATGCCAGCAAAGGCAGCTAAGGCAATTAACTTGCCCTCAACTTTCCTTGCGTGCTTCCACAGAGCTCTTTGAGGACACGGCCCGTTCCTCCTCTTCATCTTGACCTGCACCACTGGGGCTCTAAGTCATCAAGTCAATAGCAATCTGTGCAGAAGCTCTTCTTGGGGTCTCACCATCTGAGGGGCCGAAGGTGAGATTCTCAAAAAGCGTGATCTCTGGCAACAGCTGCCTCAACTTGCTGATATGCTCTGCTCTCCGCCCGACACCCACAACCATTTCTTGCTGTTCGTTTGCAGCTATGCTGCGGATCTTTGGAGACATGCAGAACCCGCAAGTGCGGAGGCACGAAGAGCTTGGTGTGGCCTGGACGTCTAAAGCATCCCTAAGCAGCTCGCTGGTGTAGCCTGTCTCCTACGTTCCCCTACAATATCAGCTGCACCATTCAATAGAGCGCAGCATGGCATCAGCTTTCGGAGCACTAAACGAAAAAAACAGACTTAAAATCTTGACAATGTTTGCAAGCTAGAGTCCGGTCGGCAGCAGAATGCCGGCAATGAGCTCCTGAAGTGAACTCGCAAAGCGCCCACGGTCTATGCACAGCTTGCAAGCAGCTTGCTGCCGCATGGAAAAAAAACAATGTGGCAGACGGTGTGATGCTTGTCACGTGCACAGGCAGAAAGTCCAGAAGAGTCTTCTTGCCGCATCCTTTTGGACCCGCCACGGCCACTAGCTGGCCTGGCACACTATGCGCAAGACGCTGCAACAACCTGCGGATGCTACACTCAAATCTGTTCGATCTCAAGGCGACTTCGACACATAGCTGCAGCACGCATTCCCGAATTTCCGGCAGATAATGCAGTGTGTTGGCCCAATGCTTTCTCACATGCACCGTTTCCCATGGGCTCCCACGGGCTCGAATTCGAGGGCCAGGCTTCGCCAAGACACATGCTGAAAACAAACTATTTTGTGACATTCGATGTAGCCTACACTGATGTTGTGTGTGCCAGCAACTGGCTCAGCACCTCGAACTTTTGCGGAACGGAGCATCAGCTGAATTTTGAGAAATGCCGGGTGGAGCGTCGACCCGTGCCTTGTGGAATTTTGAAGGTGGCATTCCGCAGCAGGTCTATGCCTCCTACAAGTTCAAGCACAAGTGGACACGTGATCTCGCATCCTTTCTTGAGCTTTGTTGGGGTTTCGTGTCGCCTCCAGTCCGCTCCGGGTAGGCAAAGTTGATGTTGTCTGCATAGATCCTTGGCGTAGCACTAGGTGCAATGAAAAACCACGGGCTGCTGCAGAATGCATTGCAAATCATGACAAGATGCTGAATCAGATCCTGCGGGTACTTGGCCGTCAACTGAACAGCTGAGCAGGAAGCAGGGATGGAGAGATTAACGACAATAGCTCGGCCTTCTCCCCATTGAAACTGACGGAGCTACTTGCTTCCACAAACGGTGAGTTCGCCGGAAGACTACCTGGAAAGAACAGAAATGCTGACGGACAGACACACGACATGAAGCAGGGCTACTTAGGTCAAACAGATGGTTGAACATGACACCATTGTCAGATTATACGGCAGGTCAACGCGGCTTTGTGTGGCAAGTTGCCGAAAAGTTGATGGTGCGCCTGGCCAGAATGATGCAGATACAAACTTCAAAAGCAGGAGTGGACATATCTGTACTCATGCTTTCAACCGTCAACTTGCTCCTTAAACTTAACAAGCTGAACACCACGCAAAGCAAAAGATCGCGGCGCACCGGGCACAAGCTCATGCCAAAATGTCGCGTAGTGTCGCCTTCATCTGTGCTGTCTTGCCACACTCTTGCATTTCCCTCGTGATCAACATCCTGTCCGTCGT